AGCCTTGAGTCACAGGAGCATAGGCAAAACATAATCTTGACTTGGTCAGCATGATCAATACTATCAAAGCTATTGACACTATTTTAGAAATTATTTTTATTATAAGCTCCTAACACAGCATTTTAATGCAGCTGGTGATAAGCCTCAGCTGTCAATAGCTTTTTGCAAAGCTGCCAGTTCGATAAACTTGAGTGAGGGAGCGATGTTCTTTTGCTTTTTATCAAGGATGAGGAAAGACAAAAGCTGAGGACTGTCAGCCTTTGTCTGGGGTTTTTCTTTACCAGGAGGTTTTTTGCCCTTTATCAATAATTTTGTTTTGTTTTCTGATTTCACAGGTTTGTACCCATGGCTATTCTTTTCCCAGGGAAAAGGGGAGAAAGTATATTTCTAACTGCAGGAGGGACTGAGACCAGAAAACAGGAAGAAATTTCTGCCAGTGAATAGTAACTCGGATATTACAGGAAACCAAAGATCTGGTGTTTTAATGCATTAAGCTGTTCATCGTAATCAAATTATGTGATTTATCAAAAATGTAAAGGACTATTGCATTATTTTGAAGAGGAACTTTAATTTTCAAGTTTTTGCTAACACCAAAACTTGATGACTTTTCTTGGGAGTTTAAAACAACTCATGTTTTTACATGATGATGACAGGCAGAAACTTACTGGTAGAACAAACTCCAGAATCCATTTCAGGGGTTCCACAGAGCAAGGGCACCTGGGTCTGAGGAATGTCTCTCAGAGGCCTTCCACTAGGTGTGCCCATGTGGCCTGTCCCCTGACACAGGAGTCAGGTCGTGACAGGGGTCATCCTGTTCAGGCAAGAATAGGATCTCACTGGGGCCTCCAGATGAAGTGGACTGGCCCCTGGACAAAATCACAGACGCTGACCAGTATCTTAAAAGATAGTTTATTCAATTGGCCAGCCAGGGCTAACTCTGTACACTTTTCTTCCAAATAAATCTGTGCTAGTGTTTAAGCTACCTCTTTGCCTATCTTCTGTGGCTTTTAGGGGCCTAATAGCTATGTATCTTCTTTTGCTTGTTCTCATTCCTCCAGTGTTAAGATACTGACTGAATACTTGAAGCTTATGGCACAAATGCAGTACAAAGAGCAGTGTTACTCTAATAGTAACCCCCAAACCTAAACATGTGTTAATATAGAACCTATTAGAAACTCAAAAATTCTCAGCAGCCCCAGCCTCATTGAATCTGAAGCTACATTTCAAACTCCCAAATAATTTATATGCACATTACTGTTCATAAAGTAATGCTATAGGCTGGATCTTAAGTGTCCACCTAATGGCTGTGTTTTAAAGACTCAGCCCTTAGCTTCTTGGAGATGGTGCAAAAGAGAATGTAAGACCTAGTGGGATGTCTTCTGCTTATTTAGGGTGTGTCATGGGAGGTCTTCTGGTTATGTAGGGTGTGTCCTTGAAGTGAAAAATAGGACCCCAGATTTTTCTTGACCATGAAGTGAATAGTTTTCCTACACCATACACCCATCATGTCATCCCCATCCTCCACATAGGAGGCCTTAACACAGTAGGTCTGCCCAATTATAGATTGGAACCACAAAATTTTTGAGCCAAAATAAGCCTTTCTAAGGTGGCTATCAAGTATTTGTAATAGCAACACAAAATTAACTCAAGCCTAATTGTAGAGAAGTCCCCAAAATGTTTTCAAAACCTTGTATTCATGACATCACTGCTAAAGACAGATTATTTCCTGGTGTGTATGTATAACTTACATAATAGTTTCTCACCATGCCTCAATGGACCACCGTGAGCACATACCTACTTTGCAGATTGCTGACTAGCACACTGAGTGAACATAGCATTTGACTACTTGCTCTGCCACTGCTCAGCTTTATTCCAGGAAAGACTGCAGAGCAAAAAGCAGATTGCAGAGAGAGAAGCAGATAAAATGATAACCAGAACCAAAGCTCCAATAAAATCAAAACTACCCTTGCTCACTAACAGGCAGGCTCACCACCAATGGGTGACTATGTTTTCAGAATAAGTAATGGGAGACGCTTATGATTCAATGGTTAAACAGAAAATAATAATAAACACTTCAGATTTGAAAGCAGCCCCCTCATGGAAAAGAATGAAAACAGAAAAGTTTGAAGATAGGCATATCCGAGTTAACATAATGCTTCTTCCATTCTAAGACCTTTAAATCTTGTTAGCACAGTCTTTAGTCTATTTTCTGTAAGTATTTTTGCTTACAATAACTTATGCCAAAGATATAAAAGGCAAACAAGAACCCACAGACTGGAGCAATAACCGGCCAGATGGGGAACAGGAAAGGTGAAAGTGATGGAGATGAAGATGATTGAAGTATGTTCCATAAAGGTGCCCATAAAAAGGGGAAGAGTGCTCAAATACTGTTAAAAGTACACCTTGTATACATGGAAGTAACAGTAAAATCCCTTTGTATAATTAATATACATTTATAAATTGTGCTTTTCCAAAGCTATCCCAAATAAGGAGTTCATCAGAGCAGTTGTTGGAAATATCTTGATGTTTTCTCCTACGTGACACCTGATATCCCAACTCAAAGGGAACCCAGCAAGGCATAATTTACTTCTGCAGAAGCATCTGATACTGACAGGAAGCCAAGCAAGCATGCTGAGCAGGCAGTTCACCATGTCTCTCACTCATCAGAACTTTGGGATCATAATCTTTCTTGCTCAGATAAACTTTCAAACTAGATAAAACCAGGATATCTGGTCAAAGTTTGTCAGAAAAGCAGTCTTAGCTTCTTGTAAGATAGCATCTATCCTTTAAAAGGCAGTGCT